TATGTTACATTTATGTATCGAAATCCTTTGTTTACTTATTTGATTTTGCAAATATCGAGTGAACTTTAATATCATCTAAATATGTTACATAACGCATAACATTTCTGTTTTAAAGAAGTGAAGAAAATTATTGAATTTTATTGTTGCCCTTTATCTGCGATTCTTATTTCATTGTGAATAATTTTATGTGTGAATAATTTTATGTTTATATTTTATCTTATTTTGCGGATGAAATTTATATTAATATATTCGACGCTCTGTTTTGCGCATTTTGTGTTTTTTACTTAAAATGATATTTAGAATAATTTAAATATTTTGCATTTTATAGATAATTTTTTATAGAGAATAATCGAGTTGTATAATTAAAATCCATTCGAGTGTATGTTATTAAACATTTAAATTTTATACATTTTAATTTATAATGGCTTATATCCTGCACAATACTTATACTATATACATATATACGTCATACATAAGAAGTAAAACTATAGATGTGAATATTAATAACGGAAAAAATTGTTAATATGTATACATGTACATACATATACATGAACGTATCTAAATATGCGAATTCTACACAATGACAATTAACTTAATCATTTATATAATAAGTCTGAAACTATTATAATCTCGATACTAAGATCTTAGATTTATTTTTGAGATCTTGGATTTATCAACCCACCCAAAATACGTTTATTAAAATGATTTATTTACGTAACAATGTAATATTTAAGGGCCTACTTCTGGTAATATGATGCTATAGAAATTATACAATATAAAACTTGAAATATTGTAACTATTCGAAAACATGTTATGCACAAAAATTAACATAATATTTACTACAGATTTTGCATAACTTAATGAGAAATATTGGCCGATTATTTCATTAGAAATATATGATATAATATATTTGTAATAGTTAAAATTTTTTATATATAATATTTGAAATCATGAGAATGCATTTTGACAAATATTAAAATTTCGAGCAACATTAAAGTTTATAATTCAATTATGTGAATATTTTATTTATTGAGAACTAAATTTTAATACTAATTAATTTAACAACATTATATATGTATATATATACACATATATTATGTATGTATATTTTTTCGCATAGATATTTCGTTATTTCCTCTGTGTAGAATAATTATATTTTAAAGTCCTAAATTTTTCACGAACAATCATTCATATATATGCACATTCAAAAATGTAAATTATATTTTAATTTCTGATGATTTATTGTTTGTTATTGCTATAAGCGAAAAAGGCTAAATCAATTCAGCAAATTTAAATATTAATAGAACTATATGGTAATTGAAATTATATATAGATCGATATGTATACATATATTATCTAGAAACTTATATGAAAATCAATAAAAATAGAATATATGCTACAAAAAATAGGGTTGTAGAGATCAATATGAATAGAACATATCCTAAGTATTGTAAATGTCATATTTTGTATGATTAATCTAATAAAAATAATATAAAGCGCTGTTAAATATTAAAGGATTATACTTAAACCAATTTCCAAAGTTAAATAATATTTTGTTCTTTTTAATTTCCAAATATGTCAAGATATATTATTTTAATACAGAATATGTGATTAAAAAATCAAATTTAATCAGTTTATTTCTTTTTAATTGCTCATTTAATTGCTAATTCGACTACAGAAAAGTTTTAAAGTAAAGCATTTATATTAATTTTATCCACTTATAGTAAATAATAAACTAAATTTGAATCAAATTAATAGGTACATTTTTCCAGTTGAATTTTTTAACTCCATTATTTTAGTTAAATTAACGACATATTGGATAAAAGCAGTGGCGATCGATCTATATAGAATGATAAAAAATGATTCAATTTGGATATAATTTGGCATTATACGAATTTAACAGTGAATATATTAATGAAATACACATCCAATAAAAATATTTTTATTAATGAAACATATTTACATTAATAACACAATGAGTTTTAGATATTCGAAAAATATAGGAATAAATGGCATTATTGTGTTGTAGCCATAATAAATTCCGTGCATTTGAATTTGTGATTTAACGGATATTTTGACGTGATGTCGCGAGTGCAAGGGAGAAATTCTGCATTGATTAATCTATATACACAAGTCAATATTAACTCCAATTAGCATTTCTTGACATCGATCGCAAATACCGCCGACATGATGAAATCAAGTTTAATTCTTCCAATGAAATGCGCATTGCGGAAAATCACTGGCGGTCAGCGAAAGTGGTCGACAATCTTTCCATACTTTTTGTTGTTAGTGCGTAATTTTCCGGTAGATAATAGCAACGATGTGAATCGTGCGAATTGACGGAAGTTATGTCGATGGCTATTACGTCAGCAAAAATTATGACAGCTCTTCAATAAAACGTGCTTTAAGTTCTGAAGATGTGTGATTTATATGAGTATATGTATGAATATTACATTTTATTTTGATTTAAAACACACATATATACGCGCGAGAGACATTAAAAATGATTTAAAAGTTGATTTTTACTTACATTAAAAAAAATTTTTATACATATACAAATTAATTTTTTTTATGCAATTTATATTTTTTAAAATAAAATATTATTAAAAATGTTTTTTGAACAGTTTTTTATATTTGAATTTTTTTACTAAATTGACACAGTGAAATTAATGATATATTTCTATTACTGCAGATATACTATAGATTTGATATTTTGTATTTATAAAATTTTGCAGTGTTGATACATTTTTTCACGAAATTTGTGCATGCGTTATCGACAGCATTGACAGATGTTCAATAAGAAGATAATCGGTTATGGTCTTATCCGCTGTTATGTGTGATAAGCACTACACTTTTTCCTCGATGTAATCATACGTGATTTTACATGTGTTCTAAATATCACTTCATGACCTTGTATGTACGAACCTCAAAAAGCATTGTGATTATACACGTATATTTAATTATTTATACGACGTAATATTCTTTCATGCATTATACAAATAAATAAATTATTCGTATAATGCATGACGAATAAAAATAAATATGTTCAAGTAAATATGCAAACTAGATAATACATACAAGAAATTTAAATGTTATCGTACATTAAGTATTGAATTTTTCTTATTTTAATTTATTAAGGAAGAAATCATGAGAAATGTACATTGAAAAAATATTGAATCTCAGTAATTATAAGAGATACGTAATCAAAGTAATAAAAAATCATTTGAATTAATAAATTCAAAAACATATAATTATAATTTGAATATTATAAAACTAATGTAAATTTTTTGTCAGAAATCTTTCCTATATGAAATAATTTAGGAAGTGGTATATGCACCAAATTATTTGTAATTAGCAAGACTTTTATTAATAATTTCGTGATATATTATGTCAAGTACTTTATTGCGAATTAATTAACTTAATATTTGAGTTAATTAATATATTTAATATTATTATTATATACTTTATTATTATTTTTAATACTATTATTTAAATACTTTTAATACTATTACTGACAAACAAAAATTATAGGATTAGCCTACAAATATTTGATCGGCGATTTTAGATCAAGTGAGATCGCGTTTCGTATCGATCAAAGAAATGCATCGTTCTTTTTCTTGATACCCTTCAATCATGATGTAAATGCACGTTTCCTCTATTGAATAAATGAAAGAGAAAGAGAATGAGAGAGCGGCGAATGATGAGGTAGAGCGCGTTACGTATGTCAATCGTCTTAGAAAGTTCACCGGTGATAGTACCGACGCAGAAAGTGGACGATGATTTATAAAGTAATAATGACGCTACGAATCTTATTTATTTGGGACATGTATGAACAGATTAAATAGTGTTCTACTTTTGAAGATCTTCAGATTGTATCGATTCTCTATGCACAATGAATTACGCTTGATTCAGTCAAGTGACAATTATAATTTTATCTTTTTCCTTTTCTTGAGACCGGAAGTCTCTTCTACAAATAATTCAAATAATAAAAGAAATGCGTCAAAAAGAACATGATGTGAAAAAAATATTGCCGAGTGTTCGTCTGAAGTTTTTTTAACGTAAAATTAAGCAAATACCTAAATTGTTGATTGCGCTTCGGTACATACGCTTAGTTTCACGGTTTAGATTCTAGTCGAGAGACGAACATTATTAAATGAACAAAAAGTGCCAGTGAACACTCTTGACGCTATAAAATGTTTACTCTTCACTGAATATTGATACGTTATATTGATTTTGCTCAATCGTTAAATCCGAAGTCCAGAATAATTCCGCGAGAATTTTTTCCCCTGTGTCGTTAATAAAGTTCATCAAAATTGCAAATAATTCCGTTTCCCGGGAACAGCGTGACGTATTTTACACATACTGCGTATGTGTGCGATTGAAACATTATCGGAAAGCGAGATATGTACTTTCGCGACGTCATATCCTTTAACGTAACTCAGCACAGTCTTCATTTTTACAATCCTGTCTCGTTTCATTAGTTGACTTAATGATACATATGTTATCTCTAACATACGCGAAAAGCTTTCCCAACATTACTGACGTTTACCTTTTCGATTATCTATGTTCGGCGTACAGATTGCCTGCTAAAAAATCAATTCATTCTATCGTTTATGTATTTTTTTACTATATTTGAAAAAAAAACCGGTTGATGACGACAGTGACTGGTTTTGTCATTGAAACTATGAGCACATACGGTGGTTGATGTTAGGATTTCGATTGACGAGGAACTTAATATCGAGCGACGAGAAAAAAAGAAAGGCGAATCGATCGAGCATGACTTTCGATAGCTGGTCAAAGGTGGATGATCGTGGATGGTGGCCAGGGGTAAATAGCATAATAATTGTAGGAGACGATCGGGTCCCACCATTATCATATAATACGCACTCGCGTCCTGGGGTCAGCGCGCAGAGAACTTTGCATGGCAAATATACGAGTCGCGGACGAATATTCATCAGCAACTACCGCTGGTCTTTACCTTCTTAACGGACGTCCGTGAAGTTCGGTCTCTCTGTCGGCTTCGGCAAACTCGTTCGTAAAGTGAGCTTACTGATTACGGGCGATCCAACGACGATCAACGTTTGAGGCAAGGAGGTATTCGGAAGGATATTGCATACAAGATGTTGTTTTCCAAGCGGTACGTACAGAGTCGTCGGATAAATCCTGTCGCGATGCGGAAACAAGATCATTTTAACATTTCTTCCATTCTGACTTCTTTCTCTCCGAAAGTAAAAATACTCATCGCGAAACTTGTTTTCTAACTGTATACTTTTGTTAATAATCTTCTTGCGAAGTGTATAATTCCTTGCTACGACAGTGTCAATAGATTCATTCGCTACGATCGGTTTTACGTCGAATCGTTTCTTTCGCAAAAGAAAACGCGGACGCGTATTTACTGAAATATCTCAAAACTTGACAAATCAGAAAATAATTTTAATATGAAAATACTTTTATTGGACTATATCAAAATAATTATGTAGAACATTCAAGCTGGTTACTAGAATGTCAAAATTTCTTACGGTATTGCTCATCATGCTTGAGTTTCCATAATTATTTTGATAGTTCAATAAAATTATTTTCAATTTTAGACTTTAGCAAAATCGTTCTTTTCGTGTAGATTGGAAATGTGTTAAGATTTTGTAATCTTTGCGGATCCTATGGCGAGAATTGACGGGAAATATCACTTTTCAAGGCTCGTAATTGCGTTTAGACCGTTCACGATTTCAGCTGTGGAATTTAGCATCTACCTCAGGTAATGGTTCACTTTGAACATATTTCTCGTTTCCCTAAACAAGGCGCGTCGCGCGAAAAAGAAGAGATACACTGAACGGTACCTTGAGTAGGATCTCCTCGAAAAAGTGGCACGGGTTTCTTCTTTACGTTACTCGGACACGTTACTCGTGATCGAGGTTTTACATTCAGGTGGTTCTTGTATTGGAACAACCTAGTTACAGAACAGAGACTTTGTTGAAACGACTGATTCACAGTAACGTGATCTCCATTTTGGGAATTTTCTCTCTCTATCTAGAGCAATCTATAGAGAGCACTATTTAAACATAATTTAAACTTTATAAAAGAAATTAAAAATAACTTGATATAAAATAATTTACGATTTTATAACGTTTTTCCTGGGATTACATTTACCGTTCGATAAATTTGTATAAAAATTATATAGCAGAGTTAAATTATCAATCTTTTAAATGAATACGTACGAAATTATACACTGTCTTTAAATAAAACGACTGAAACTAAATTAAATTTTACTTTCTATAGTTTAGAATGCAGTATAATATATTTTAAGACGGATAATAAATTAAAGAAAAAGTATGTCACATTATTTATATTGTATGTCACATTATTTATATTGCTTGTTGAATATATTCGATATACGCTTATACAATTGCGATAACATATGTAATTTTGGAAAAGAAACTTTGCCTTTGGCAATTCCACTGTTTTTCTAATTATTAGTCGTAATTTATTATTTGTCCCATAGTAATTTTATTTACAATTGACTGATAAAACTCGTTCCTAAAATTTTTGAAAAAATTATCATATCGCAGCAATAATATGCTTATCTTAGGAAGTTATTATCAAATGTATGAGCTTCAAATGTGTTTCTCATAATTATCGATAATCTGATTATTGGTAGACGAGTTAGAAAATTCTATAAATAAAATAAATATAAATGAGATATTGAAGTTTGAGTATTGAGGAAAACTTTTCAAATAACTATTTCGAGCACATTGATTGAATCTGATTACAATTTCCGATTAATCGAGATTTCAATATAATGAAGGAAAAATAATTTTTGTACGTTAATTGCGAAAACTGACATTCAATATTTCCGTATTTGTATAAACATCGGTAGGCTATATCAGGGGGAACGTATACCGGAGTTTTCTCGATCCCTATAGTAATGGAGCTAAAGACAAATACTCGATAAGTAATGACTGCGGTCTGATTTCTCCGTCCTCCGGCGGCAAGGGAAATAGTCGATTTTCGGATGCATGCTGGACCGGACTGGTGCAAGTAGGACGAAGTAGACCTATAGTTGTAAGTGGAACACTACACAACGACTATTTTTAGCGCGTCACCTGAGACACCTCGCTTAATTTCGCTGTCCTTAATCAGTCGAGGATCGATGTAACGCTAGAACGCGCTATTATTTTTTCCGATGAGCTCTTCGTCCCTTTTAAAGGGTTGCTGACGCGTGCACACACCGAGTTGTCGCGGACCTAACGCCGCTGCGTTTATAAATAAGACACTCTACGTAACAATATATTGCATTATTAAATATCGTAGAATATTTAAGAAAGAGAAAGTCGCGGTCGCCCGTGGCTACAATTATTGTGCAAGAAGGCGATTTGCAATTCGAACTTGTGATGTTTGCGAAGCAAATTGCACTTGCAACTTAATCATGATAAAATTACGTTTTAAATTTCCTTCGTTTTTCCACTGAAAGCGAAGGCAAAGTAGCGAATCGTCGATACAATATACCTTTACACCTTTGCACAATGCGCACTTTTTACAACTCGCCCAGTCAATGCATTTACAGTTAAATTTCCATTTTGTTCACGTATTCGCTATGCAAGTATCGGCGATTAACATAACAAAGCGATTTCATGAATTCGGCCAGGGAAACGATTGAATATTCATTATACGTGAACGAGTAGTTGGAAACTTTATTGCAAATTTCAGCGATCACTGGCTAATACGTAATCGCCGTAAACAAGCTCATCGTTGGCGAGATAAGCTTCGTTGCAATTACTTAATTAATGAAAGCCGCTTAATTAATGACAGGAATTTTTTGCTGAACTCAATTTATGAAGCTTTAATTGATTATCTTCTTTCCGTTGTTTTCTTGTGAAGCGAAGATGGATAATATCACTGTTGTTTACGGTTTGTTGTTTGTTAATAAATCCAGTTGAAAGGTCGCATTTTTTTATTCGATACAATCGAGAAAGATTCAGTTTTGTCAAAATTGATATCTCTTTTCTGACGATCTCTGAGTGAAAAACAAAGATTTTGTGTGTGTATTTAAACAATTCGAAGAAAGATATTATTTTACATTCGATAATGTTCTATATTTATCCTTTTATAAGATAAAAAAGTTCTTGTTCATTGATAAAAAAATTTATTGAATAATTGCTTGGAGAAATAAAAAAATGTTTGACTTTAAACGTTATTACTTTTAATTACTGTTTTCTCCAACAATTATAAATATTTATGTAAATTCAAGCTTATTTGCCTTCATGTATTTATGTATGTATAATAGAATCAATGATTGAAACAGATGCATGAAACATCGAATAAGTTAAATAATTATACACGATTTATTAAATGGCTATATGACATACAAAATTATATATTAAATAACAATAACATAATAATTTATATTAATGCTGTAATTGGTTGCAAACTTCGTTAAATCAACATTCAATTCTATCAATCCGGGATAATGTCAATAAGATTAATTATATAACATTTGCATTATTATGCAATGCGTTTTTGGAAACTTGTAGAGTGGAAGGAAGGGGATTTTATAGAATATTATTTTGTTTTATAACTTAGTAGATATTGATGCGTGATATAACTACTTTTGGTACAAGTTTATTAATCAAAGAGTCTTACCAATTATGTTATATAGATGAAAGTTCTTTAGGTAAGTTACAAAAAACCGAAGGAGAAAAAATGCGGTTATGGAATAGGAGGGACTGGAGGGAGGATATGGAATATCACTAATTACTGTAATTTAATATCAGATACACACATTTTGATACAAAATGTAGTTCAATTACATCATTAGAAAGCCACATTCAAGGCTTCCAAGCTAGATTAAAGTTACAAAATGAATATCAACATACTTTTCAAAATTACGTAAAAAGTATAGGGAAACTCCGGTATATACGCCGCGCCGTATACCTAACAAAAACTTAATTGATCAATTTATTATTTACTATGTTTAAGATAAATAAACTAAACTAATAAAAACTTTATACTGTCTATTATAAAAAAAATATTAAGAATTCGAGAAATATTTGTTTTTTATATTAAAAATTTTTTTGTCGTATTTTTGTCGTATAGAGGTGGGATGTACGGCTTATGAAAAATTTACAAATGGTGCTTAGAAATAGGAAAAAAAATAACACTATATATATATATATATATAACTTATAAAATGTGTTCATACAAAGTTTTTAAGGAATAAGAATGATAAATATATATATGAAGTAATAGATAATAATTCTAATTTTTTGCATATATTACAAGTATGATGATATGAGGTACATGTTTCGCATGTAGTTCATTTATTTAATGACCGAATCTCCATTCTGCGCACTTTGTTTGCTTTGGGCATAAATCCCGCTCGCTAAAAATACCACATGTCCCAAGCAAGTGGGATATACAAGATAATATCAAGCTGAATAAAGAATACAAGAGCTAAGCACTTTTGTTTTGCTATACTACATTCTTGATTATTCCTCTACATTTATGTATCAAATAACCATTGCATTCCCCACAGTAATCATTTTGTGTAAGTTATTATATATGATTGCGCTATTTACTGCATTGACAAATCGACTCAACTGACACAGTGGTTTATTAATATAATAACAGTAAAAAGCTAAAATCATAACACAATACTAATATAACATAAAGCATGTAACGGAGTGGTTGCGTGCAAATTACTCCCATTCCTTCTATATTTTCTGACTTCTGCGGCATAAATACCGGAGTTACTCTACACCTATAAAATTATCTGTTGCATGTAAAACTGAAATGCAGCTTTATGACAACGTAGTAAACACTATTGACTATAGTGATCATGTTATCTAAGCAGTCTGTAAAGAAATAATTTTGACGATTATTTTAATATGCAGCGCAAACTATACAAGATATTGTGGTATTCCAAAATCCCTCACTTATTTCCGCTTCCTTTCTTTTATGTTATTGCGCGGAAGAAAATTTTTGATTTATTTGGGCTTATTAAATATCAATTTGTATATCAAAGTTGTGTTTAAAAACCTCGCTGTGAGTAAAAGAGTTGACTAATGGGTTGGTATTCATGAACAACCATATTCATATTATTAAAGAGAAGAAGCCATCGGAGCTGTTTAACATCTTAAAACAGATTAAAATTTAAAAAACACAATTTAAAATTTAAAATAAGAACCAATTATGAATATCGGTCCATAAATTAACTTTTTTATTCAAAGTAATGTTTTGGAACGTAATCTAAATAAAAGCTTCATTCAAAATTAATTAAAAAATTAGTTTCTGTTATTTAGAATTATATTTTTGTGGTAAATGTTAAACTTTTTAAATTTGCACTTCAAAAATGAGATTGGTTTAATGTTGAGATTATAATATTATATTAAATATATGGCTAGATATAACTGATAGATAATTTATAAACACTAATGGATTTAGGACATACAAAACATATATTTCTTTTATGTATTAATCAAGAGACAGTTATATTTTATTTTATTTTATCCATTCATTATAAATTAACGACTACTTATTTTTAGCAACTTCTCTTTTAGCAATCGTGTATACATAGATGTATAAATTGTTATAGTCATTAGCGATATGTATTAGCATTTTTCAAAGATACAAAATCGAATTACAACCGCATCGAAGACGAGAGCATCAGATATTTCTCTTAAAGAGTGTTATGCTATTTGCATGACATTACATCATATTTATTTATTATATCACCGTTGTCAAACGTACGCATACAAATCAGCTGTTTGAGAAATCTTCTTTTCCGCAGCAAAATGCTGAACGTTCATTCGAGTAATCTTTTATGATGTTTTGATTACTGAATATCTCCATCCGTCGAGCAAAGATCATCAGTCTCGTCATTTATCGCGCAGAACATTCTATAATATATTCCAGATAATCATTAATAGCTGTCTCAATGTCAGTCTCATTAATAAAAATATGGCGATTTTACGAAGAGACACAAAATCGGACGACTTCTCCGATTATTAATACCAAAAGTTTTGTTAAAATTAATTGCAATTGATTCAAATATTTATGATAGGGGGATGTTCCGTTTTGCAAAAGATCGATCTTCCCCAACGACAATAGCGATTTTAAACCGATCTATTTTTACGAAAAATTGATTTTTCTAACTAAAAGGGACTATTTTAAATTGATTTCTTTGTAAAGATTCACTTCTTTTTAATTACTTCAAAGTAATCTTTTCGTAAATAATCGATTTTTAGTGACTTGATCTGAAAATCGCACATCCCTAGTTTATGATTGTGAAATAACAATTTTTGTTTTTTAGAAAATTATATTTCTTAAAATCTCGTTAAAACTTAAAAAGAAGCCGTATTATAATCTGATAAGAAGCTAATTAATAACTTTTTGAGGAGCGGAGTTTTCTAACAAAGAAACTTAAAAAAAAATCTTGTTAAAGATTTTCAAGATCGATAAAATTGATTTTGACCTTAGAATTTTTAAATTCATATTTCAAAAAATAATTTCATATTTCAAAAAATAATCATGACAATCACTTTTTATTACTTATCTGTATAGGTAGTTACATGGGTAAATAAATCTTCACTACATTCATGTAAATATTCAAAATGTTCCATATTTTTAATTAATCCTCAGAACGTTCTGTTTCTATTTTGAATCTAATCACATTTTCAATGTTCAATAAAAATATCGCAATTACGCTTAGGTAGACCATATTGGATATATTTACCTTATTGTGTTCGTTACATTCGAATAGAAACAGCAAAATGTAGGGCATCTATCACATACGCACGATCTTTTTTGGCAATTTTTGTTTAATATAAAAATAAAAAGGTTTACATATCTCAGAAATTAAATTACAATACAGACGTTTCGGCCTTAAATTAAGCCATCCTCAGTGTAAAAGTCAAAATTATCATATTTCATAAACTGTGTTTAGAGTCACATATTAAAAATATATCATTTTAAACAAACTACTTTCTAATATATAAAACAAAAAAACATAAATATCGTTCTGTTTGATTTATCATATCTTCTTATGTACCAATCCATTACAATTCATTAAATTCGAATAGAGTTATTCATTTTAATCTTAATAGGCACATATTCCGAAAATATGCAGATTTGCTAAAAAAAACATTCCAAATAGAAGTTGTATGGTATAAAGGGGAACGTATAATGTTGTTACCTCTTTAATGTTGCAAAATCTCAATTACGCCGCTGAAAATAACGTATGTTCTTTTTTCTGCCATATTCATCATCAGTGATGCACACTGAATTTTTATTAGCTGTATGCTTCACTTATGGTCACAACATAAATGTATTATTCTGTATAATACTTGAAGAAGGATTTATGATGACAGCGAAGGTATTAAACTGAATTTTAATCATTTCCCGTTGTCATAAGATGGAAGAATTATTGTAGTATAGATCATAATCAAATGTATCTTTTTTGATGGATTTTAGATGTTTAAATATTTTCATTTAAATTACAGTAGTCATTTTTTAACTGCGCATCGAATTGATTTTTTGGACTTAAAAACGCAACTAAACTATTGTAGTAATATCACTATATCTAATAATATCATTGACAAGCAATTTAATAATTTAATGCTCAATTGGCAGCACTTTAAAAAGATCTTAATGTACTGAAAGGTCCGAAAATCAATTCGGCGCGCAGTTCAAATGACTATATAAATTCATATGAAAATATTTAAGCGTCTAAGATCCAGCTTCTCGTACTTGTTGTGTATTTCCATTATACGGTCTTAATAAATCATTTATTATTGTATCTTTTTTTATTATCGATATTTTACTTTCGCCATTATTTGCCATCGAATAAGTATAATTTTCTATCTTTAAACGTAAGATTATATATATATATATATATACAGGGTGTTTCCAAATTAAAT